GTTCACAACTTTTCCTCAGCGTTTTGAACGCATGGAGTGTTTTCAAGAGCAGGCTCAGAATGGCCTAACATTTATGGAGGGGCATCTTGCACCGTGTTTTACCCATGTAGTGCCATTTAATCTTCACAGTGACACACATCCATCTCTGAGGTGGGTGTTATTTCCAGTTTGTAGACGAAGAGGGACCTCTTGAGTGTTATGTCTTAGACTCACAAAAATAGTGGAGGGCTGCTATTTTAAGTCGGGTGCTCTAGGGTCTTATTCTGTGAGCCGCACTGCTCCCTACAGGCCAGACCATAAAATATGGGGAACCAACGGGAGGAAGTGGGCATTGCCAGGAAGAGCCAAGGTAGACAGAACTAATCCAAGCCAAATGGGACTGTCTCCAAACAAGTCAAAGATCTTTCTGGCTTCCTTTGCAGGGGTAGGCTAGTGATTTGTGAAAAGGTTATCAATCTAGTTTAGAATACACCATACTGTAGTTTCTTTCTATGATATCCTAAAAGACAAATTACAGATTTCTCAGAGCTGGGAACTAAAGGAGTAAGTATTAAAAAAATAAATAAAAATAAGTATTTGGTCATATGAAATTGATTAATAAAAAAAGCACACAAAGCATTTTCCACTGTTGTCGTTGGTGCAATAACTTATATTTTTAGTGTTTTTTAAAAAAAAGTTACTTTTTTTCTCACTTTGATACCAACAAGCTACATTTCCCAGTAACAGTTGTTATTCAAAATCGCTAATTCTAAAACAAGTTTTTCTGTTACCACATGATACATTGTGGGATAAGGGCACTTAATATGCAAATTGATAACATTACTTAATATTATCTTCCCTCCTGTTGCTCTTTAATTTGGCATTGAGCAGCTGAGGTTTGAGGTTTTAATCAAAGAGCATTAAATTAAGCAATTTATAAAATCAAGCGAGGGTTCTTTTTTCAATTATTTAATTCACTGTTTATACCCATTCAATTTTAAAATAATCTTAGACATTCATTAACTGATTGTCTCTTCCACTGCTTGACCATGTCCAAGTGCGCTCTTTCTTTCAAGTGGCACAGCATGGAGAACAGTGTGGTGTGTGGGCACCAGCCAAAGGTGCAGCCAAGAGTAAGTTAGTTACATCTTCAAGCCACATTTTCATCATCTGTAAAATGGGGATAATAATTGTACGTCCTTCATATGGTCATTGAGAGGATTATGTGACATAATCCATGGAAAGCATTAGCAAAGCACCTGGTATTATTAGTAAGTGCTCAGCTCTTATCCAGATGATGAATTTGAGAGCTCATACAGAAATATTACTGTTGGTATATATTGTAGAGCAGAAATATTGTGAAACCTATATTAACCATTACGCATGGCCCAAACAATCATTCTCAGCTCAGCACACGGAGTCACCCAGATCAGGCTGCTGGCCTCCCATGTGGCACATGCTTGGGGCAGACAACTAGTATGGGCAGTAACTGCAGTTATTATAGGGATGGGGATGGGAGGAGCAGCTGGCAAGGCCCAGGGGTTAGGCAAAGGCAGACTGGCCACTAGTTGAGGCTGTGTTAGTAGGGAAAAGGCAGGCACCTGAGACAAGGCAGACAACTGATCAGATCTGACAAGACAAACAAATGGTCTAAGCAACAACAGCAATAGGTGAAGCCCAGAGAAGGAGGGCTGAGATTCTGTAAGCTGGAGGGGATCCAGCAGGAGTCAGGGGCCCAGAGAACCCCCCAGAGAGAAAACCTCGCTGAGAGCATTGGACTTAGACGGAAGGCTTTTAACCCTGAAGTTCTGAATGGAATCTCTGGTTATCAGAGGAAGTGCATCCCTTTAAGACAGGCTCAGCCAAGGCGGGAGGCGGACAGTAAACACAAACCTTTAACTCGCAGGCAGAGTGATTTCTGATATTCAGTTTCCATCATTCAAACAGAATCTTAAAAGTCTTTTAACTTTCGCCTTCTGTTGACCTTCACAGAGAAGGTATCCCAAACACTCAGTTTTCACATTATTTTTCACTCAAAAATCATGACTTAAATACAAACTTTACTAAACTCAACCATTTCCCAATGTGGTTGGTGAGCGCCCTCTAGTGATGCAGGAAGACCAGCTAAGACCGTTAATTCCCCACAAAAACTGTCTTTAAAAGTGACGATTCACTAAGTATTCAATTTCTGCTCTCAGCTAACAATAGATCTTCTGCCACTGTTATTTGCACAGCTATGAACTCACTGCTCTCTGTTTAGAATCCACAACTAGATAAAACCGTTTATTAAAGAATTCACAGTGCCATCATCTGAAAACATTTCCAAGTAACCCTTGCTTCCTCCGATGTGAATACACTATTTTGGCTGTTGGGAAGCCTCTTTAGAAATAAACAAACAGGATTACAAAATAGTCAAAGAAAAAAATTTTTTAAATAATATCCTCGTATAGTTACTTCATTTATCTTCCTAACCTCTTTCAGTACTCCAGTGACTATCAAAAATGATCACAATGGCTAGATCCCCAAAACTACACATTATGATTGCTTGGTCACTTATTTCCTACCTATTTTTTTTAAAATAAAGACCTTCAGCAGTTTCTTTCATCCATAACTCTGTACCCGGGGTTCTTAAACTGGTGGCTCCTGGAATAAGTATGGTCTGCAGACCTGGCCTAGTTACGCTTTAAGTTTCAAAATCTGGAATTCTGGCATCTCCTGAAGACAGAAAATGACCTTTGACAACATCTATCCTGCATCCCCACATAGCAGCTCCCTCCAGGGGCTCCGCAGGTGAGGCCTGCATTCCTCAGTCATCCAGTCACAGCTCGGCCCCCACCAGCCAGCCACATGGGCTCCTTACCTGGCTCCCGGGGAATTCACGCTGCAGCCCCCCCGGGTTTGTAACCCTTTCCAACACTTTCAGTAAAAGTTCTCTTTATCATCTTTACGACCAAGCTAATCGATCCTATCAGCACCGCGCAATGCCACCGGGGGCACAGGCTGAAGGGAGCAGGCTGCCACGAAGGAAAGGAAGGGGGAGCTCTCGGTCACTGAGGGCCGCGAACACGCGCGGGAGGAGCTCAGGTTGACGGAAACGCATCAGTGCCCGCAGGCCTGGTGGAGCGCGCTACGTGTTTACGAATCGCACCTTATTTGGAGCTAGCAAACCTCCGCCGTGGGTTCACGCACAGCAAATAAGCAGCGTACGTCCTCCGATCGCAATCCGCCGGCTCACCCCCCAGACCGCTCCCTGGGAGCCGCAGCCTGGCGGTCGTGGGACCGGCCGTGAGAGCGTGACAAGGGAAAGGGCACTCACGGGCGAGCTGCTGTCGGAGACGGTGTTCATGCTCACGGAGCGGCTCAGCTTGTCCGAGGACGCGGAGGGCGGCGACGGGCACCTCTTCTCCAGGGGGTCCTGCCGCCGCAGGTACTCGCGCCAGGCTCGCTGGATGCTGCAGACACAGAAAAGGCCCGGTACACGCGCTGTCCCCCCGCCGCGGCCACGGGCGCGGACGCGCACAGGGGGTCAGGGGGACCGGCTGTGGAGCCGGGGAACCCGAGCGCGCAGAATGCAGCTCAAGAAATCGGAAGAGCTGGCCTGACTGTCTCACCGGTTTGACTTTCACAGGCATGACCACGCTCAGCCAGTCCACGAGTGCCGGCCTGGTCAGAAAAAGCCGTCAGTCACAGGGAAGCTGCTCTGCACGCGTGCATGTGCTGGGGTTTACGGGGCGCAGAATCTCTCCATTTCTCACCGTGTTTCAAATGACAATGACAGGCTGGCCGGTCGCTCACTCATTCGCTCAGCACAGCACTGTTGGGGACTACTCCGTGCCAGGGCCAGCCCTAGGTTCAGCGGGGCTGCAGTGAAGCTCTCGGGGTGCCATTCGCACACACTCGAGGTGAAGGGCATCCTGTGATGCTACAGAGTGTAGTCTGCACGGCCAAAGGCAAGGGCCCTGCTCGGGGACAATATAAGCAAGAGCCTTGTGGCCATGGATTTTACCTACTGTGAAAGGAAGCGGGTGATGTTCGATAAACAAAGAAACAGAGAGGAAAAAATATCTGAGAATGTTATGTACTACTCAGAAAATTAAAGTAACATGTGAATAGGTGGCTGCTTGAGATTTCACCAAAGGAGAGTTTTTATTTCCCATGATTAGGATCCAAAAACATGTCTTCTTCTGCTTTGGATAATAGAAACCTCTTCCTTGGGAATGCTCAGTGATTTTTCTCCATTGGGACTGGATTATAATCTTTGAGATTAACATCTAGGTTGTCACAGGTGATCAGTGACCACAATCTAGCCCCTCCAGGGACTCAGCTGAACATGAAGACCAACTGCAGGGAGTCAGCCTTTTAAAATAGTTGGACTAATTCTTTCCCTATCTCTTCTAGGCTCCTGGAAGCATCTGATCCCCTATAATTCTTCCACATACAACTGAAGTCATTAAAATTGTTTTTGTATAAACAAACTGATTTACTTCCATTTGGCAAGAATTGTTCAAAGACCATCGATTTTCAACAGTCAGAGGACATAGAGAACACAAAAAATGCTACCACGTTATTGAGTTTGTTTGTGTTCCCTAATTTATTAAGGTTGTGTGATTATAATGCTCAAGGAAAAGTCGGGAAGCTGCAGTGAAAAAGTACCTGGGGATCAGAGGCCAATGTCTCTGAAACTATGAAACTGAAGCTTCGGTGGCCCTTACTTGGAGGCCAGAAGCTTCTGCCAGAACCTACAAGAGGCTCTACAGAATTGCAAAAGTAGGTATATTTTAGGTTTTTTAAAAGGCCCTCCAAATTTTATACACACACACACACACACTTTAGGTTTCATTAAAGCAGGATCTGACCCTGGTTTGGGTTATATGCGGTCACTGTTTTATTATGCAATGCTTGCTCAAAATGCATCCTTATTTATTTTTCTTTGGCTTAGAGATTTTAAACACAACCTCAAAGAAGGCCTTGTAAGATTACATGCCTAAGCCTTGTTGCTTCTTCTGAGACCCATTTTATTAAGGAGATTGAACTTTTGGAAGCTGTTAGTGATTTTCTCATTCTCTGAAGCGCTGGAAGTGCTGAGTGTCTCCCAGGGCCCTGCTGACAAGTTCTGCCACTTGAGGGCACCTAGAGTTTGTCAAGCTGCCCATCAAGGGCTTAAAAACCTGTGACATTTTTAAAATGATTTTTAAAATAGAAGTGTTTATTTATTTATTTCTCTCTCTCTCACCATGACTATTCAGAAAATAGAGAAAGGAAATGGAGTGACCACTTGAGGTATTACATTTTAGCTTGAACAGCAGAGGGCGGTGTGACACCTTTAAAGAACCAAACACTGCTGGTCAAAACTGAGGTGAGATCTGCAAAGGTGGATTTGCACTTATGCATCCCATTTCCACCTCCAGGTTCTATGGAATCCGGAAAGCGATGTATCAGTTTCCCTTAAATCAGAGATTTAAGAATTCAATATTCTTTTCTTCCAAGTGGGTGAATATTTTCTTCCTTTTTAAATTACAAGAGAATGTAACGATATGAAAGACCGGAAGGGGATCCCACCCTGCTCTGTGCTCCCGCCTCATGGTTCAGAAACACGGAAACAGAGCAGGGAGCAAGATGGTGCCCTTGGGTGTCACATTCTGACTTCCAGTGGACAAGCAGGACCCCTATTTATGCCTCTGTTACCTACACTGTCTACATGCAACTAAAAGTTACCCTAACATATACGTCATGTTTTCATTCAGCGCCTGCCCCAGCCCTGCGCCCTGACAGACCTGCCCAAATGCCCGTGAAGGGCCGCCGCATGCAGCCGGCAGGTTCCGCACCGCATCCCCGTGCCTCTCGGCTGCTGCCCTCCACTCCGGTTCTGCCGGGTTTGTAATTCCTGACTTTAGCTCCTTACTTTGTCAGGCAAGTTGCTTATCTCCATTTCACGAAGGGTTTCTTCTGAGGTTTTATCACACTCTCATTTGGACACATTCCTTTGTCTCTCCATTTGCCTGACTGTGTGTGGGCTTCTGTGCTTGAGATGAAGCTCCCTCCCCCAGTCTGAAGGATGGGCCTGCCTTCCGCAGGAGAGGAGCCTTATCACTCAGCCCCGCCCCGGCTCTTGGTTGTCTCTCACACCTTTGCGGCTGTCCACGCAGCCTATTTTATTGTGAATAGCTCCCAAATGCTGAGGGTGTGCCAAGGCCAGTCAGTGTTTCAAAGGAGAGGATCTCAGCCAGTGCCTAGATTCCAGCTGACTGCAAGCCAGACACTCAGGCAGCAGCTTTTAAAGAATACAAATATGCCCTGGCGGGTTTGGCTTAGTGGTCAGAGTGTCAGCCCGCGGACTGAAGGGTCCTGGGTTCAATTCCAGCCAAGGGCACGGACCTCAGTTGCAGGCTCGGTCCCATCAGGGTGTGTGCAGGAGGCAACCAATCAATGTGTCTCTCTCACATGGATGTTACTCTCTCTCTGAAAAAGCAATGGAAAAAATATCCCTTGGGTGAGGATTTAAAAAAATAATAAAAAAATATAAAGAATACAAATACATATCCTGTGGGACCACAAGCATAAGTCCTGCTACCCAGAGCCAGGCAATCTGGAGATATGCTCTGGGCAAGAGTTGCAAAAATCGGGGCTCTAGACAAGTGCATAAGCTCCTTTCTGGGAGATTACAGTGAGCAGCAGTGAGGTAAAGGGAGAGGGCAAAGACGGTGTCCCCTGAGAGCACCTTGGTAGCCTCTAGCCGTGTGCCTAACCTGAAGCCTGCCTGGAAGGCTGAAACTCCAGGACTAGCGAGTAGGCCTCCTTCACGGTCAAAGCTCGCCTCAGCTGACGTCTGTGCATTGCCCAGAGGTGAAACAGCCTCTGCAACTGTTTCAGTCCTATGGATCCAAAGAACTCAAGCCCTCCTGGGCACCAGAGCCAGGAAAGCAAGGGGTATCCCCTGGGCGGCAGCCACAAAAACCAGGTCACTAGGTGTAAAAACTGGGGCGCCAGACACATATAGGAGCTCCCCTCTGAGAGATACTGGCACTCTACAGCAGGAAGAGGGAGAATGTGAAGACAGTGCCAGCCCTTCGAGGTCTCCAAGTCTCAGCAAGATGTACGTTCAGCCCTTAGATGTGCATTTAATTAGAAGCCTGCCCCTCAGGCTGCGGCTATGGTGATGAGCTAGCAGGCTCACGGGGAAGGACTGAACTCCTAGGGCTGTTCCTCTTGCTCTACCCTGAGGGTGGTGGCTGTTGAACTATTTCTCCACTGGTTATGGTCCTGTGGGACCTACTAAGGCCCACTAGCCACCAGAGCTGGGGGGGAGGGGGATGTAGAAGTGTGCCCTGGTGGCAGCTACAAAAATCGGGGCACCAGACAAGCGTATAGCTGTTTTCTTTAAGGTACTGGTGAGCTGGAGGGAGGCAGAGGGAGAGTGTAAATACTGAAGGCACCTCCTCCATCCCCGAGAGCCCTCCACAGGCTCCTGTGAGTCGCCTGAAGCCTGCCCCTCAGCCTAAGCTCTTGGACAAGCAAATAGGCCTCTTTCTCAGGAAGCCTGGGTTTCAGTCTGCTTCTATCTGTGAGGTGCCCTGGGGGGGATGGTCGGCGAGAACTGTCTCTCCAATTTTGCAGTCCTGTGGGGCCCAGCAATGCAAGGCGCCCTGGCCTCCAGAGCCAGGTGATCAAGGGGAGTCCCCCAGGTGGCAATCACAAAAACCGAGGCGCTGACATAAACTCCAGGGCATGGGACATGCGTAGAGCACCCCCCTGGGAGAGTCTGGTTCTCTGGAGTNCAGGACATGCATAGAGCACCCCCCTGGGAGAGTCTGGTTCTCTGGAGTGCGCAGAGCGAGGGCCTGAAGACGGTGCTCACCAGCTGGAGCCAGGCGGGGGCAGTGCAAACATGGCACTTACTGAACAAAAAAGAAAGAAAGAAAAGAAAAGGGGCGGGGGAGGGAAGAAATAAGAAGAGAAAAATATGGCACCCACCTGCCTTAGCAAGGCAGAGGGAGGCAGGAAGACGGCACCCACCAGCTTCCAGCCCGGAGAGTATCCCAGCAGGCCTGCCTCTCAGCAGTGCTTTAAAATTAGCAAATGAGTCTCTTTCGCCCAAAGTCTGGGTGCTTTTCAAGATCTGCTTCTGCGTTGGGCCCCGAGGCAGGTGAATCTATGTATAAGCCTTTAAGAGCAGTTTCTCAGCCCTGGCCAGGTGGCTCAGTTGGTTCGAGCATCATCCATGCACCAAAAGGTTGTGGGTTAGATTCCCAGTGAGGGCACAGACCCAAATAGCGGTTTGGGTTTGATTTCCAGTGGGAGCGCCTATGGGAAGCAACTGATCAATGTTTCTCTCTCTCCCCTTTCCTCTCTCTAAAATCAATTTTAAAAAAACCATACCCTTGGGTTAGGGTTAAAAAAACAAGAGTCCAGTTGGTCTTCAAAGCCAGATGTTTTGGGGGCTTGTCTTTCTGGTGCTGGTCTTAAAAGTTGGGGTGCCCAATGTGAGGTATGAACTTTTTGCTCCTTAAGGAGAAGTCTGGGTTTTGAGTTTCCTCCCAACTGTGAATCATTGTGCTGGGGTGGGGTTTATGGCATTTCCTATCTGCTTTTTTGTGGTTTCCCTTTTGTTTGGTCAACATGAAGGGGTTGCTCCACCAGACTTTAGGGTTTTGTTTTTAGAGGAAAAAGTTCCTTATGTAGCTGTAGATTCTGTGTCCCCTGGTGGAGGTGGGTTCATGATTTTGTCCCCAGAAATTATGTGTTTAAAGTGATATAGGTTCTTGCTCAGTGATGTCTCATTAGCTGAGGCCTGAGGCAAAATACTAAACTTATTGGCCTACATTTTGCTTATCTACAAAAACAGGAGTAACAATTACTTCTTTGTAATTCTTGATTCTTGCAAAGAGTCAAAGATAAGGTATTATTTTATTAGCCCAATTTGACCTTAAAATGTGTCTGGAAAAGGTAAGAAAGTCACACTAGGTAAATGCTCTTCTTAGATTTTCTCATTGAAAGGCCACTACAATCCTTTAAGACATGGTCAGCAGTCTCAATTTACAGAGGAGTGCAACTAGGGCTCAGAGAGGTAAGCAGTGTCCTCAAGGTGACACCACAGGTAAGGAGCAGAGCTGGAATTTGAACTTAGGTTGCTCTCACTCCAAAGTCTGTGCTTTCAACCTCTCTTTTCTTAATGAAACATCTGACTAAAGTTGATAGGCATTACTCTTAAACAAGTACAATTTAATAAGGCTTTACTGAGAATCATCTTTGAAATTTTGGGGGGAATTGTCTTATTTCTCTCGTGTGTGTGTCCTTTTTTGGAACCTAAATGTTTCATCACTAAATCAAACAAATTAATAAAAAAAGAGAGGAATTGAACAAGTTAATGAGCAGACTTTTAAAAGATGATTTGGATTCAAAAGACCTCTATGTTGTTCATTACAAAATAAATATATTTTTAAAACATAAGGAGACAGATATCACAGTCAATGAACAACTTTTAAATGACGGTTTGTACTCAAGAAGAAGTGTTTAGATCTTATTACAACACTCAAGATGTGTGTGTGGCGTGAGAGGCAGAGGTCTGACGGGACCTCGTGAGCCTGTTTCCTTCCTCTGCGGTCAGGCCCCTGTGCTGAAACCCACACTCCTTCGATGTGTGTCATTCCCAGGCCCTTGCTCCTGCCTTGGCTCTTAGGAGCACATTCATCTTCAGTCTTAGGGCTGCACTGAGAGCCTTCACTGTGGTGCTTTCAATAGTACTTTTGCTTTAACTGAATTTTCTGATTTGAGAGGCTTGCCTTTGCTTGATCTTCAAAAAACCTGCCTTTTACCTCCCCAAAATGACTTTTATTAATAGCTGTGCAATCTTGATTGCTTTTGCCCTTCTGATGCAGTCCTTTGATCTTCCAAGTCTAAAACTCAAAATTGCCTCTTAACGTTCATGAACTAGGCAACGTGCCTTTCCTTACATTTCATCTAAATTCCAACCCCACCCCCATGTTCTTTCCCCACAGTCCTCTGCTTCCTCCCAATGATACTCTGCACAGCCACGTACAAGTTTAGCCTTTCTTAACCAAATTCTTTCCTTTTTATGTTGTCCTGAGTATGAGGAAACAACTGAGGCCCTTTCCTGACCCACCCAACCCCCACCCAGTTCCCACCAGGGCAGGCAGACAGTAAAGGCAGCCGACGCCTGAGAACAGCTCTCATTTTGCTCTATCTGTTACGTTCAGAGGCTGGCTTGCCAAGGTACATCGCACCTCAGACTTGCAGGGGCTGGGCTGTCCAGAAGAGTTTCATTGGAACCTATTACTTGCTCGTGCTCATCAGGGAGGGGAGAGGAGAGATTCCAGAAAAGCAGATTTTATGGTGTGGTGACCTCACTTCTCTCTGCCCCCTGGGCGAAAGTAGATGTTCAGCCGGGTCCCACCAGCAGAGATCAGAAGACCCTAAGGAAAAGCCCGTGAAGTCTGACAGTGGCCCAGGAACCTGGAACAAGGCTCCGTCGTTCACACCCAGTGCTCTGCAGGTCTAAAGAACACCTCTTGGGAAGTGGGGATAGGTAAGGGTATGCCAAGGCTCTCCCTGCGAAGGATGTCAAGGTCATCCTGGGGGATACAGCCTACACCATTGGTGGGGTGCTCAGGGGAGACCCAATGGGCCTTCCCACAAGCAAAAAAAAAAAAAAAAAAAAATCATAAAACC